TCTTGTTGTCAGTTTCTATCCAGATTGCCTGAGTGGATGTCTGGAGGTGTACGCACCTCGGAATGATTGTGGTAAGCTAGCACTAAGTCCCTTCCCATCCATCTTTACTCTTTTCTCTACAATAAGGCTTTCAAATAAGTCATGGTTGTGCGGAAGTGAAGCATCGGTGCTAAACACTGATGACATGCTATCGATGATGATAATGCAATGTGACAGAGTAAAGGCTATGCGACCAACTAAGCAACAACAACATTGGAAGGAGTCCACCACTGGAAGAGGAATAAAATCGATAAAAATTCTGTCGATGCTTGGAGAAAGGGGATAGAAACCTAAAACAGGGAGGCATTCCTTCGGGACATGAAGTAACACATTGATGGATAAATAGGGTGGCGAAGCGCGGTGAGTGATTGACCATCTGGCTTCCACAAAAACATGACGTGACAAGTGCTAGTTGGGTTTTTAAGAAACCGATTGGCCGTTCCCGACGAACAATTTCTTTTTGAATAATGCATCCATATTTGAAAATGTCGAATGTACAAATCTCGGTCAATATCTTCAGGAAGTTACTGACTACTATTTTCCCTTTCTGACTGAATATTCTCAAACGTGAGCACGCAAATTCCACCCTTGTCCCGTTCCAGAACAGGTGGCAAACCTTAGACCCTCGGTAGTATCTCACCAAGACTACACAAATGCGGTGAAATCGATAAGGGACTACGTCCTATCCAAGCTGACCAGTGTGATTGCAGTACGTTTGTTGGACTGCCTAGAAGTTTCGCGACTGTCTTGTATCGGTAAGTCATGGTTAAATTATTACAGCGAATTAATTCTACTTGTTATTGACTATTTGTCTATAGTGAGTGGTCTCGGGTGGTGTAATGGCTCAAACCCCACACCAGGGTCTTCAAAGTGACCGCCAACCTTCATCGTCACCGAGATCTATGCACATGTAAAGAGTATGGATATACAACCCGGAATGAGACCAGATCACGCGTCCAAGCTATTGCCTTCCCAAATCCCCGCTTGACAGTCCACCTACAGTGCTGTATGTACACACTAATTTATCGGCTCCCGCCTCCAATGCACAGCTACCCACCCCACCTCCCCGAATCACCGGTTAACATAACTGTGGCAGCTACAACCACTGTACGACAAACACACCGTTATTACAGCTGAAAATAATGATGATGATGGTGGTGATGATGAATAAGACGAACAATGCTGGTGAATCGTATCTATAGAGAGCGTGTCACTGCTGACGCAAGATTACAGCAACCTTAGGACGCCATGAAAGTATGCACTTGGAAACCGCATAGAACCGATCCTAAAGTTATTTTCTTGAAAAGAAAACTGAAATCTACTCATTGTCTTCTCTTTGATTCCCTGAAATGATGCATATGTGTCAGTTTGGTGCCTGTCCAATGGTACACTGACTTCCTAACAGTTGTAGGGATTTGTTGTGGGACAAAATTTGTACTTTGCAAGGAAACAACGGGGATTGCTTTGACATCCAAGTGTGTGAGTCGTTGGAAACGGGAACACACAAGATCGCTGAATGCCAGTGACCACTAACTCTCGAACTTCTGAGCTGTTTGAACAAAAGTATCGCGAAGATCTTTTTGTCCTAATTTCAGTTACAATTTGTGAATGTGGTCGCTGTGTGACAACAGGCACCATACCTAGGCTAAAGATTACGCGAAACCCCTTAACAGATTCAATCCACCAAAAGGCCTAAATTCATTTATGTCATCTTCGTTCGAGCGCATCGGATCCTATGGAATCGATCAGCTGACATAATTTTCATGTAGGCATAAAAGAAGAATTTGCGTACACCTGGATAACCACTCAACCACTGTCCTCGGTGTGTCATTCCCTCAGGAACCCTTGAACGAACAATCGAGAAATTGGAGCACTTGAGTGACAAGGAACTCTATTCAAGACGTGTAATGTCATGTCGCTTCCCAGAGCATCTGACAGACGATGACACATCTGGGGAATTGGTTCACCACGCAACAGATAACTGCGGTAATCAAGAGGGCGGGTCAGAGTGGAGCAAAAACTTTCGCATCACTGTGTCGAACGAGCATCTTCACTGCCCGCGGTCAATCAACTCTACTATGGATGAATTCAGAGGACTCGAACGGTCTCCTGAAGCAGGCGAACACTGCGCTGGCTTGGCTTTGAGGGCGCTGCTGACGTTCGCCTACGAGTTGACAGTTCCACTTAAGCAAACAACGAAAGCACAACTTTCTGGGCTGTTTGACAAATTGAAGAGCGTGAGTTATCAGTTTGCGTGTTAAACCAGGAGAAATACAACTGAGTATCCTTCACAAGGTGTTCTCAGGCAATTCAATACAACATGTAACTAGCTCATAGGGATACACATTTTATATGAATACTGATAAGAAAGGGAGGTTTTATTCTTTGGAAAGCAAGACACTATGCGTTAATCTACCATTATTCATTTTCGTTTGACACATAGACCGCTTTTCGACTAGACTGTTCTGTTTTTTTGAAGTCCCTTCAATGAGAGGCGCTCTGCTCTAGGGGACAGTCCTCCTCGGACATTCCCTCCAAAGCATCACTGTACAACACCAACGCCTACGTTGTTCTTGAATACTTGAGAGTAACAAGCACCAGCAATAGCTGTCTGCCAGGTCGATAATAATCAATGGTTAAAAAACTCCGGAGAACAGTAGTATTTTGGAAAGTAGACAATATTGCTGTTATGTCAGGCGAAAGCTTGCATTATTGGTTTATGTGTTTTAGACTGATGAGACTCACCAATCAATGTTCTTTGGAACTGTTTATCAGGTTTTTGTAGCGCCACTTCCTTGGAGAGCACCAACTGTTTTGGACGCTACCTGGACAACCCGTACCGCACAATCTATCCTAACGGGACTTTGCGAGAATACAATAGCTCGGAAGCTGTCGGCACAAGTGACTGAAAAATTGCGTCAGTCACACGAACAATTCCTAACGGTGAGTAATCAGACGAAACGGATCGATAGTTATCGAGTTTTCAACACCTCTATGAGTAGTACTTTTGTCTGAGTAATATAATCGCCGTTTTAGAAAGAGAACGAAGGGCATCCTAATCCGATCTGTTGTTGATTCTTGGAGCTCCGTAGGTTGGTGAGTGCTCTCATCTTCTGGGAGAACTATGATTGATAAGCACATCCTTCGATGGCAACTGTGACCTTGAAATAATTGCCCTGCATTTAGGACAAACTGGCTCTGTGGATTTCAGGAGCTCACCTTATGCCGTGGAAAACGGAGTATGATGTGAGTCCATCATTTCATCTTCTCCACCGCGCCGTCAATAGTCAACCATATCCTGTCTTGTTGACCCTGTTGATCGCAGCGTGTCCACATAGATCTAAGCGACCAAGTCGAGTAGTGGTCAATGGCCGCCTGATACCTCCGAAACCTTTGCGGCCCATTTCAATTAAATGTCTGCCATACAAGGGGTTCAACAGTGTAGTGCACCATCGAATGCTCCAAATCTCCACAAAGGCATTCATAGCGGACGAGAAGTTGTAGGGATGAACACAGGTACACACACACAAAAGTACATGTACTCAAGGACCCGATTCGCGACTGATAATCTTTATCATTTATGATGCCCAAAAGTATGCAGCATCCGGTCAGGAGAGGGATGTCTTTAAGGTTACATTGCACAGAAAGATGTGATCTCATCGGGTAGAAGATTTGAAACACTGACCAGCCGTGTGGCAGGACCAGAGGTCGAGTTCGTTGGTACTGGCAGATAAGTAGTGCTATGGTCATGAAATAGATTCTTCGTGTTTTCACTTATGCTCATGCATTTACTTCCTAATCAAAATGCCTAGAGAACGTTTGGTTGTCAGCTTGCGTTGGGTCCATGTTGAATGAGGCTTGCAAACGACACTACGCCTTCTCCGACATGTATTAATGTCAGTATTCTTCATTCAAGCAGGCATCCTTGCCCTGATCCTTTTCCATTAGTTTTTTTGGCCTTTCCCTTTTCGTTACCTTCTTTACTGAGGCATCCTTTTCTCAAGTTTGATGGCAGTCAAACACCAGGGACGGCACTACCGGTGCCGGTGAATAAGTGCTAACGAGACTAGGTGCTTTTCAATCAACTGGAAAATGTTTGGGACCGATTGGGAAGTCATCGTTTCAGAGGGGTTCGGTAAACAATCGATGGGTTCATTCAAAATCAACATCATCATTGTCAGCTGTAATAACCGCGTACCGTACTTTATAGCTGCCGCAGTTTCGTTCACCGATGATTTGGGGGGAGGGGGAGGTAGGTGCGCATTGCAAGCGGGAGCTGATAAATTGGTCCATAAATCCAGCACTGTCAGTGGGCTGTCAAGTGAGGGGGGTTAGAAAAGGAGCTATGCGTTGAAGGCAATAGCTTGGATGCACGAGCGTCATTGAGGGCGAAACTGGGCCATATCTGACAATGTCTCTAGCCATTGATGTGGCCCGTCTCGGGGTCCCCATCCAGGAAGACGGCAATGACCAGCGCAGCTGAGTTTGCTGGTGATGGCGTTCACAGTTCGCTGCCAAGACATTGTTTGACCGCCTCTGGCTCTCTTCCACCCTTCACCTGGTTGTGCGAAAAGAGCCTTTCGAGGAAGTTGGTCGACTGTCAAACGCAGCACGTGGCCAGGCCAGCGCAGCGTTTCACTTTTGACACAAAAGCTTCGTCAGGCCAAGTGAGTAAGTAGGTTGATTGGGTTTTAGGGCAGTCAGGGAATCAATCCCTGAGATTTCTTATGACTCGCCGGCTTGATCAGTGCTAGGTGTTTCGTCTGATGTTTCTGTTTGCTGGTTAGTGGGTGGGACTAAGATTTACGATAGATTGGTCAGGGGGGATGATTTGTCTTCATGTTGAACCCGAATTTTTCGTCCTTGCTTTTTCAGTCTAGGATACCTTAATGGAAAATGGGGTCGTTCACAGATTTCGTTCACCTGTGTTTGTCAAAGGGTGCCGGGATTTTGTACTTATACCCCCAGACCATTTCGCTGAGAATTGCACACGGATTTGTTCCATGGTTACCTTAAAACCCAACCAACTACCTATTACTCAGCCTGACGAGGTTTTTGCGTCAAAAGCGAAACGTTGCCATGCAATAAATCTACCAATTGTTCACCAATGCTCTCTGAAACGGAAACTAGGTGCTGTTCATCAGACTTACCTTCCGCGGAGCTCCGACCCGGTGTTGTAACCGCTACCCGACATCAATCAGTCCTTTTGCTAGTTCCTTCATCCAAATTCAAAATTAAAGTGATAGACAAAAAGTAGACTAATTCTATTTCCTGATTCGGTAACTTTACCCGTAACAGCTTCTTAGTGTCAAACGCCACATACTTATGGCGATGTGCAACGTTCATCTTTCCGTCGATGGTAACCTTTCTAGTTCAGAATGGAGAATAACCTGCTTTCCGCGAAATGCACTGATTTGCAAGCAAATTTGGTTTTGCGACTCACCTGGAACCCAGCTGAATCTCTTGTTTGTGATGTTTCTATAGTCGCGGGCTGTCGGAGAAACTTCAGCAATCTTATGAGTAGTCCAAACTGCTCTCTGCTTTTAACAAGAAACCGACCTATACAGAAAGTAGTGAGGTTTTCACTCCTTTCACTGTAATGTTTTTGATTCACCAACATCTCCGTACCTGTCACCTGCATCATTCACATTGCTAAATTGTTACGTGTTATGTTCTAGACACTTCATCGTCTCGAAGTTCGCACTGAAATGCGAAATTGCCGGTTCGAAGACGCGCAAGAAAACATTATAAGGCAACATGCACCGAGGCTTGCCCGTACCGTGTTGGAGATGTCGGCACTTAGACACTACCTGACGCACGGTCTACCCTCGTTGGGGAAAGAGCTAGGTCGTGGACAATATGGAGTGGTCTACGCCTGTTCCAGCTGGGGAGGCCATTCACTTTTGGCCGTGAAGTCTGTGGTGCCACCTGATGAGAAGCATTGGAGAGATTTGGCGATGGAACTATTCTACAGCAGGTACGTTCGACGCTTTTGAGACCACAAGCAGTAGTGGGTCATGTTTCCGATGTAAAACAAACTGAAAATGAATGATACTGCATCTTTTATTAGTGCAGTAACCCAGTAACCCCTCATTACAAAAGGAGTACCTCGACTTCCAACGAATACCAATGAGTTCAACTCGTCCACTAGAGATGAGCATCGTAGATGATTTATGCGTAGATCGAACTGCCGCATCGACTTTACCGGAATGAGACAAATCCAAACTCCTAATTGCTTACAGCACATGGTTGCCTAAATCAAAGCCCAAAAACCCAGAGCGAATTATCCAGCCTATTCTGGGTCTTTGATTAACGAAGATAGGAAATGCCCTCACTTCTAATGAAAGGGCTGGTCAATTCTAAATTTCTTAGGCTTGGGTTTGAAGATACAGCCAAATCTCAAAAAGAGCAGTCGCCTACGCGACCCACCTTCGCCAAGCTACTTGGCCTCACGTAGTCATCGTAAGCAATACAACCTAATGGTCACAGTACACGCTCTACGTATAAGGCATCGTTCAGCTCCCCCGTTAGAGCATACACAAGTATCACCACTTATCACTTTCCATCTCGATTTATTGTCTTCAGGCAATTACCACAGCACGATCGAATAGCCAACGTTCATGCCCATGTGATCGATTACGACCGTGCGCATGGATCAGAACCAGCAGTGTTACTAATCATGGAACGTTTGGCAAGAGATCTACATATCGCACTCAAGCAAGGATTGTCCTGGCTTCGCCGACTAATCGTAGCAAGAGATGTCGCCGAGGGTGTACGGTACCTACACAGTCAAGGACTGATTCATCGAGACATCAAACCGCGAAATGTGCTTCTCGATCTGAACGACCGGGCCAAATTGACAGACTTGGGATTCTGCAAGCCACAAGCGATGATAGGTGGCAGCATTTTAGGTAAGTTAACCAACAAACAATCATCTCACAAATTCTAGGTACTCCGCTACATATGGCACCTGAAATACTCCAGAAGAAGTACGATTACACGATTGATATTTACGCTTGGGGTATCCTATTTTGGTACATTTGTGCCGGCAGCGTGCACATGCCACGCAACTTTGACAAGTGTACGAACAAGGAGGTTTTGTGGAGCACCGTTCGTAAAGGTAAGAAGCCCCTCAATTTGAGCACGTCATCTTTTCAGGGGTTCGTCCTGAACGACTAAAATCATTCACTGATGAATGCTGGGATTTGATGGAACAATGTTGGTCTCGCAATCCACAAAAGCGCCCTCATTCGGGACAGATTGTCGAAGCACTGGATCAAATCTATGAAGACGAAGTCAACAGATCAACAAAGACAAGGTCGGTAGCCACTAAATCGTGAACACATCTGCAGGCGATTGCCGACATGCCCAAATGCAGCGCAATCAAGTTACAGATGAGTGATTAGTCCCACTAACTTGGTGGCGATTGGTGATGTTGTATACCTAGTCATTGCGCGACTGTTTTGATATGGACCGATATTCGAGCACGACCAGGATAATTACTCTCCATATTTTGTTTTATTTTTTCCTGCCCGATTGCTTTATAATATATTTTCTATGCATTTTGAAAGAGGATCAGGACAGAGTTAATAAATGGTGAACGAACAACCTTGAAGAACTTCAATTTGGTTTTCATTTCTAATTGTGAACTGTTAACGATGCGGTCAACTCGATGCGTTGTCCTTCGCAGCGATTGGCTGATGCAACGGTCTTCCTCACTTTCAACCTCTGAATGGCGACTCATTCGGGGGGGGGGCACCTTGTCCTGGTCTATTGAGGTTAACCACTGGACGAATGCGATTCACCCTACTGCTCCACAACAGCGATTACTTCGGGAAACGCGAACAGTGTGTGGGACAGTAACTGATTGCCGTTGAGGACCACGGCGAACCAGGATGCTGAGAAGTAAGGTCCGACTGATAGACGAGCTTGAAAATTAAACTTACCGTACAGAGAAGCGGTCTACTGGCTCATGTGTGCTGTAGCAACACACGACATGCGTCTTGGGGCCAGCGGCGATTGGCCTATTTGTCTTCATCACCGTACTGGTCAACTGAGGCTCAGTTGCGCTGTTGTCAAGCCATGGATCAGATCCTTAGTTGAGATCGGTCGATAGGGCATCGTTAAGACAGACGATGTAAGGGTTAAAGAGCCCTTCAGAATGGTTTTTGTCCCGGAAGATGCACGCGCGTCTCAGAACGCTGTCGCATTAGTTGAATGAGATGATCTAACGCCACAAACAACTGGCTCCAGAAATGTTAGTTAAGCTCCCCCACATGGCGATCAACGTCTAAAAAACGCGCGCAGTTGCTGTGGTCCTAAAGCAGCAGCCGTGGCAAAGTTTATTGCTTAAAATTGAACAAGTAACTGGGACGGACATTCAGAAGCGATCACATTTATCTTTCAGTGAGACGGAAAACAACCTGTACTGGCGGTCTACACATACGGCGGAGGGGGGGGGGGAATTTACACGTTACAACCGATCCCGAACTATCCTTTGTATCCCACGTATTGCACCGCATTCCCGCAAATGAACCAGTCTCTGGAAGCCAGATTTAGGTTTAATATAACGCAAAGTATAATGCCTCAATGAGGGTTGATAAAAAAGGAATTTTAATAGGAGCACTGTACACGGGAGATAGACGGGGGGGGGGGTTCGGCCTCTTCCTTAGGTTTCCCACCCTCACTATCGGAGTCTACTATCACGGGGTGTATCCCGGCAGCCTTACGAGCCAAGTACCGTTGTCGCGCTTCTTCCAACTGTGCGTCAGTGGTGACTCGCGGTCGAGCGTAAATGTAGTTAGGGTCGGCGGTCTGGCGTTGAACTTGCTGTGAACCACTGTGGTGTGGGGGAAAAAGAAGAAAACAAAGCCGCGATGACAGGATAGTGAGACCTGAATTTAGACAGAAACTACTGAGAACTACAGAATTCTTCAGGCAGAAATAGTGTTCGCTCATAATCAAGAAATCATGTGTTCAGAAGACGGTTCACTTGCCAAAAACTCCACTTCCGCAACCCGATGTTTATCAGACTCTAGCAACTCTGAACGGCTATAAAATTTTCAACACCACTTTCTGATCCCGTTTGCTTTTATGATCTGTATATGGCCTGATGGTGAGCGCAGTCCGTTATGGACCAAAGCTCCAACAAACGGGGGTAATAACTTGAAGTTGAAAATAGTTCTAGTGACCCCATAACGAGGTTTTTTCATAACGAGTACTATGCTGCCAGCTAACGTACGAGATAAAACGCCATAATTCAGCACATATACAGATATATACTGGGCGGGGAGTGCGTCGAGTGCATACCGACGACTCCAGAGTGGATGGAAAAGCCAGTCTAAGTGAACTACACCTTTTCACTTGATTGTACGTGAGCCTAAACGAGCTCGACAGGGTTGGCGATTCAGTGTAAACAGATCTCCATTAGGGAAGAGTCGTAAAGAAGCGAGGGAACGTTACAGTTGTATATGTGCAGCGAACCAGTCCTGGACAGATGTTGAAGGATTAGTGAATCGTGTGAAATGTAAGACGTCATGAACCGTAAATGGCGGCCAACATATTTTGCCACAATGTTTTGTACATCACACTACACTTTTCGCCGTTGCGGTGGTCATCGCTCCATTGCTCCAGCTGGTGCATTTCGCAGGCAACGAAAGTTTATCCCACTGTATTCACCGATCATTATTGAATGTGCAAGGTCACGGATCAGGCAACGACGAAGCCAGTCTATTAGTAGTTAACTGACTGAGAGGAACTGTGAATTTCAAGCCCCAATAACAGCTCATTCCACTTGAACAGACGTGCATCGAAGATACAAAATTTTCGTCCGTCACAGATACACGACAAGTAGATGTGTGATTAAACTATGGAAATGAGGAGTTGATTTTGGGGACAGTTCCAGTAAAAGGATTTTTGCACAAGGGCTGCGACAAAAGCGGTTTACCGATAGAAAAAGTGTGATGAGGAATATTCATTGCAAGACAATACCAATGATATAAGTTTCAACTGCACTGAGCAATACTTTACAGACCTCTGTAGTCCCGCTTTCTGTACGGTGGCCAGCCGTCCCTAATAACCGAACACCACATCCTTTGGACGGATGTGTCACGTGCAGGACATGGGCCAAACGAAGACATACCCTGATTGGTCAGAATGCCAGTCGAACCGAGTCAAGCACCTTTGACTCGACGCTCCTTGCACCCTGACGGTGATTCTGGCACGACCTTGTGGAACACTCTGTGGCTATCCTATAAATACAGTTGTAATAACTTTCCTTTGCCTCCATAAAGGGCTGTGTAGAGCTATCGTGCCTTTTGATATTCCACAGTGGGGGGAGCAGGAAGCCAAGGGACCGATACAGAGATTTACTACCGTACATCAAGACCCAACACTTTCGCAGGTCGTTTGCTCACGGTGCCTCGACCCGTCTACAGATATCATCAGCAACCGGCGTGGTACGCTCTTTATGACAGGTATAGACCGATAGACTGATATCACCAGTATCACCTCGGTCAGTAACGAGGTCGTCTCAGCACTAGCAACTATTTTTACACTATCTTCACGGAATGTGACAACTCTTATGGTCATCAACCAAGTCGGACACACCAGCTAAAACTTTCAAGAACGTCTAAGGTGGAAATCTGTTCCCTGAGATGGTAACCAACTTTTTCAGTAACTGAATTGAACAGAACACAAAGTGTTGCAGTGTTACACTAAAGTTCATATCTACTTCATTGCATCCCAAAAGATGTATACTTCCAGCGAAATAAAATAAGCTGGTAAAAATTAGCCGTTCTACGGTACGACATGTCATACCCACCAGATCACCAAGACAAAGTCAACGATACCAGTTTTGTTTCATAATGGCGGCCTTGGCCGTCCGGGAATTTCGTTCTAAAGCACCGAAACATCACACACCATGCTTCGGAACGATCCGAAAGTGGCCACATTGCGCAGCCTACAAAGCACGGGTATTCAAAGACGACGTTCCACGGAATTAGTGCAGAAAGTCAAAAGAACGGAACTCCTGTAACGGGGATTTCAAACCAACCGGTAAAGTTTGGCGATATGCAACGATGACTGTTGACGTGACATGTTGACGACATGTCATCAAATGAACCTTGGTAACAAACTTTATTGCATCTGAAGTACTGTTTGATTACACAGCCTAGTGGATCATAACCGTGAAGCTGAAGGCTTTGTGAGCTCTTCGAGTCCAAGGTGAGTGCTGATGGCAAGCACTCTGCATTGAATTGCAGTAGTCCGAAAAGCAATCCATTGTACTCCGGCCACCGCAAACTGGACAGTACTTGGGGACTCAGCGCAATGGCTCCTCGATGAGTAAGGGTCTCCATTCTGACGCAGTACTGTGCAGAGTATTCCAACACAACTCACAGCGGTGAACCAGAGACATGGGCTTCAGCAAGTTTAACAGAAAGGACCAATGGCCTCCCAAGTACAATGCCTGTAAGACACGGTTGCAAAACATTATGTGCAGTTTGGAATGCAAAGCCTTGTACAAGAGATATAAACGCTTTACCGATTTACCAGCACTGCGCAATTGTTCAACGTACCCTTTTGAATCTGCTGGTCGGGAATTTTTCGACTCTGCGGGAAATCTCGCGGTTTCTGGAGCGGTTGTTTCCTGGCTTTTGTCAAGCGGTTGGCCAGAGTCGACGTGTCTGTCAGAGGAGTGAGGCTTTTTTGGGGAGCGTGTCCGGTCCCGTTCAGCGCCTTCCCTCTGCCGACTACTTTCATGTCGCGCAGTGGGAGATCGACGTGAAGAATGATGAGAATCTCTGGAAGACATTCCTGGTCGTTCACCTCTTGAAGACCTTGGTTTGGGACTGCACCGATTGGGACGGTTGCTTGATTCGGAAGCTGCATTATCCTGTTTTGAGCTTCCGTGCTTCTCACCAGATGCTCTGTGTTTCTCGGTTTCATCGCTCTGTTCAAGCTTCACACGCTCCTGGGAATGTTCCCAAAAGATAAATACAAATTTGCATATGCCAGTGAACAATAGCGTCTCCCCCACACAATAAGGGAAATGCAAATAAACAAACCCAGACAACCGCGGTTACCAAGGACAACGGTAACGCCAAATTCTGCCAACAAACCAATACAGAGAACACGACATGAGGTGACTAAACCAAATCGAACTTTAGCCGGAATCCGTTCAGGAATAGCGCACATGACTTCAAAGCTATTCAGGTTCCAATCAAGTGTTTCGCCTGTTCCTGATCAGACTTTAATACACGGGTATCGGACAAGGCTTGTACAGAATTACGAAGTATACCGCTGATGTGCACTTATTTTCTCCCAGATAATATTGAATCACAAGTGGCAAGCGTGCCGCGAATATGAGGTTAACGAAGAAATCTATTCACACAAGCCTTCGCATATATTTATATATATATGTATATATATATATA